AACCATTATAAAAACATGTGTAGCAACACATTATATCATCGTGACATGTGACATAAGACACGTGGAAATAGAGAAAACATTATAGGAGGTTTTCTTAATAGAAAGAGTTGAATATATGTAGGAGAGCAATTTTTAGGAGTCTTTTATGGAGTCTAGAGAGATAAGGAAATGAAGGATCTTCTTCTTGCATTACTCTTACTCTCTGTGTAAATCCCTCTGTCTGTCAATGACTTTTTCTCTTTGTATCTTCTTGTTAACTGGTCAATGAAGGAGAGAGAAACAGAAGTTCATGGTGATAGGGGGATGAAACTAGCTTTCTTCTTTTCCCCTTTATTCTCTCTTCTCTTCAATATGTTAAAAATTTGTTGACTATTTTGTTCTGATCAAGCTCCACATGGATTTAGGACTAACTATAGTAGTAATAGGGCTACCTACATAAATGCATTTAAGCTAGGGCAGGAATCCAATACCGAAATCGTATTGGGGTACTAAACTCAATTGCCCTTTCTTGGATTACAAAACTATGTCTCTTGTGGGATTTGAAGCCATAAACTTTCAAGGTTAAAGTAGAGAGACTCTAGCACTATGCCTCAAGTGTTGTTTGTTACCTACTTTTCAAAATTTTATTGTGAAAGTCTTGAAAAGAAGCATTATTTTGAAAATACAAAAATTTAATTGGTATTAATTGATATGTTTGAGCTGTACATGTATTCGACAAAGCATCCAAAGAGCAAAGAAAGAAGGGTCAAAATTACTCGAGAGAAGGGCGAGAGAGGTGGGCGAGAGAGGTGGGAAGCTTATCTTCTAAGCTACTCAGAGCAACATGTAGGGTGGATCTGAACATGCCCTCTCTCATCAATGAATCTGCCAGAGCATCAGAAGCTCGCCACTGATGCACAAAAGGAAACCTCAAATTTTGTAGTGAGACTACATGGATTAGGGAACACTTTTCTTGCCAAATAGACGATGTTGAATGATAAATGCCTTTAGGTTTTCTTGCATGGTGTGAACTTCTTTTTATGGATTTTTCCAAGAAAAGCTTTGTGAGATCTTTTTTTTAAAGAGGGGATATCTAGGATTTTAAACAAGCTAGCCTTACCCCTGCATGCATGAGTCAGAGGGGCAGTTGACATTATTGCCTTTCTTCCAACTGCTAGTTTAGGGAGTTGTTTCCAATTACTAGAAACCCCTAAATGGTTGGTGCCAATGCATCTTGACCTTCGAGATCTATCGAACATGCATCTCAGATCATTTGGTTCAACGAATGGTTCAGATCTTTTCAAGGAGGATGAAGACCGTGCAACCTCAATATAAGTTTTTAACAGATTTAAATAGCAGGCCTTGCTCTCCACACTGCTACTTCTGTTACTCTTTAGTTTCTTCTGTTGCTTTTGTCCAATGATGGAGAGATCATTTAGGATTACAAAGCAAGTTATTTAGGGCTTCTATTTAATGGAAGAAGAAATATATAATTCTAGCTCTGATGATACTTTTGTTAGTTTATGTTTGGCGAGTTGCTGCTTTTAGTGGCAAATCAGGTGGAGGTTTGAATTGAGTTTGGAGGGGTTTTACTTTCTGAAAAAGAGCAGACCCCTCTGAATTTGCAGGGAGTAGCATGTTAGAAAACCTCAAACCAAAATATCCTCTTCTTAAAAAAGCATGTCATGTAGTTTTCTCCAAAAAGCCCTCTATTTTCTAAAGCTTGTAGATCTCTTTTTTTCTTTAATTTATATATATATATATATATATATATATATAATTCAAAATAAATCCATCCAGGAAAATTTAGGTGTGGCACCAATAGGCAATAAAATGAGAGAGAGTAGACTTAGGTGGGCTGGCCATATGTGGCGCCGACCCAGTACAACACCTGTTAGAAGGTGCGAGTTAGTTCAAGTGGAAGGATTGAAAGGGGCAAGGGGGTCTAAAAGGAAGTGGTTGGAAGGAATCCGAAAAGATAGGGGAGTTTTGGCCTCGCTGAGGGTATGGCCTTTAATAGAGCAGAATGGCGGACCAAGGTTCATGTAGCTGATCTCGATTAATTGGAAAAAAGGCTATGATGATATATATATATATATATATATATATATATATATATATAATACAATACAATACATTACAATACAATACAATACAATACAAAATAGTTTTCTCCAAGAAAGCCCTCTATTTGCACAATCATCATTGACCATTAGATTTGAAATCAGGTGATTGATGATGTGTCATTGTTTAGGCATAAAGTCCAAAATAAAATTTCTCTAATGTTGTGAAACACTTTTATCTATTGGATTTCACATCCAATAGCTAAAAATAATTGTAACCTCATTGTACAAACAATAAATGGTCTAGTATATAATTTTTTATTATATATAATCCTTGTATATATATATATATATATACATATGTAATTTATGTATTTATGTTAAAAGATTCAATAATAGTAATTGTACAAATGTTTTCGGCTGTACAAGAGTTTTGGTTTGAAGTACTAAACACCTTAAACACGTACTAGAACCAACACTGGTGTAGGTGTCCATGTAACACAACTAGTAAGGGCTTTTTCTGTTATATGCAAATGACTTTGGCAGGGGGATATCACTTTGGTGGGGAGCAGGAAGAGGGTGTTATCCTGCATCCCCTGCTGCACACATGAACTTCATAACCGATTTTGTTGTGTCTAAACGTAATAACATTAAATGAAAAAATATTTGGTTTTTGCAAATTGGCAATCTTCTCTTCCAGCTTCTTCATGTTAAAAACGGGTCATGATATTACAGCAGTGTGTATCCTCGACAATTGTTGTAATGTCGATACGAAATGATTGATTACCCTGGCGTTTTTTATTGCATCCAAATTTATGTTATGAGTTTATGGAAAATAGGAAATTTTTTTGCCAAAATTTCAATAAAATAGGGGCAAAATAGTCACTTTTCTTATGATGTGTTGGTTTGTAAAAAATAAAAGAAGGGAAATTTATCAAAATGTGCCTAAGAGATGAACTATTTAACATTTATCCATATCTTTTGATTTTATTTAAAAATCCCATCAAGATACAATGATCATGTGTTGGAATTGTTGAAATGGGTAAATGCTAAATAGTTGATAAAATGTTAAATAATTGATAAATCAGCTGTATTGTGATAGGTTTCCCTAATAAAAATAAAATACACTAATAGGGACAGTTATTTTTACTCATAATACAAGATGTCATTTTATGATACCTTTTGGGGCAAAACTGTGAGTTTGCACTCATGATGCTACTTGTGCATCATAGGAAACTACTGGTGTAAAAGTACCTTTTGGGTTTTCAAACATGTTGAAGTTTGGGAGCTAAGTCCCACAACTTGTAAAAATGGTTAGAAGTATGAAAAATAGGAAAATTGAACTGAAACCTTAGAGTAGTTTTGATTCTTGATGTGGTTTTGTACGTTCTTTAAGTTGTGGATCATGAGCATTTAGAAAAGTTCAAACTTCTCTAAAATTTGTAGGCTTGGAATGTTTATGAATTTAAATGTATATTGACCCATAATGTTGTTTTTTTCTTTCTAATGTTCCTAGAAGTGGATTGGGCATTGAATTGGAAAATTGTCTGGTCTAGTTTTCTTTGGTCAGATTGGTGGTCAAACCTGTTGGACCATTTTGTTAAACTATAAAATTATAGAGATATGATCTTTTTGAAGGCCAGAGAAAGATTAATTTATTTGGAGAGAGTGAAATCCATGAAAAAAGAGAGAGTAAGAGGGTTCGTGGATTACTCCACATTGGTGGTGCAAAGTGATTATGGATGTTTTGGACTCCATAAATATAGCGACCCATTGCTTCAAGGAACCATTTAAATGGTAGCGTAAGGCATTATTGGAAGTTCTACCTTTTTTAGACTTTCTACATTCGTAACCCAGGTAGCATGAATGGCCCATTATAAGAAAGGCCTAAGTCGTCCAAATTCATAAAAATGCCCTAATTGGTTCATCAGAAACCGGATAACCTGGCCTGTTCACTGTCATGAACCTGCTCATGACCTATTATTATAGTGGAGAATCTACAAGGAACTTATACTTGTGGTAGAGTGGAAGTTTCTTTGTCCAGAATAAGACCCATGAACTTTTAAGTGCTGATTCTTTGAAATATGCATGTCACACCTTCCTTTTCAGAGAGTAGTTTTCTCTATTTTGGAAAGTTATGCAACTCTTCCCTTGTAAAAATATTTCTCCTTTTCTAAAGAGGTTGCACCACTCAAAAGAATCAGGAATCTTTTAACATTACAAAAATCACCCTACTTTTTAAAACTTAAGAGCTACTCTTCAAAAGGAAATTATGTGAAAATAGGCTTTTTGAGATATTTGTTTTCTATCTCCTGAACTATCCCCAAACCAGTTCTTAAGACCTGATTGAAAATATGGGATTTTTGAGGTTTCAAAAATACTATGACACCAGCAATTTCATGTTTCTCAAGTTTGAAAACTTCTTTTCCAGTCTTCGAAATACCCATTTCCATATTTTCCAGCACTCCCCTGTTGTCACACTTCCAGTGGTATGCACAGTATTTTCTGCACAAATCCTTACGTATTTCCTATTTGGTTACAGCCCCAGTAATCTCAACATAAATCCCACCATTCTATGCCTCTAATTTTACTTCTACAATCCTCAATTTTACAAAACCAAGTGGGTTGCATCATTCTGCAATTAGCAATTGTATTTAAATTTCTTATTGGTTTCTTCTTCCTATCCTTGTGTATGTGGAGTTTCATATCAATTTTACAATTTAGGGCTTTGGTTTTCGATTGAATAGAAGTAGTGGTTGATGATTGTTCAGCAAAACCGCTGACTAGCTGAGAAATTCTTATGCGGAGGATGAAAAATTGTAACTTGGTTGTTGTTTTCATGCATGCATTCCTTTCTCTCTTAAAATGCAGGCTAAGCGTATTGCTTTTGTTACTAATGATATTGTCATTCCAATTTCTGCTTCTTTGACATTTGTTTTGTTTTCTTTTGATGGGCAGGACATCGGAACAAGGCACTTCTGGTACGCATTGACCATAACAGACCTTTTTCTGTTAAGTGCTTATATTTTTTGACTTGATGTGTAAGGGAGGGGGATATGTAAGCATGTTACACAAAGGTTTGATTGTGTGTGTGTGTGCAGTGCACTTGAGAGAGAGAGAGAGAGAACTGAATCGTTGCTCGTGTGGTGTGCTGTGGGTTCACAGGTTCATCCTCATCCACATGTGCATATGATGTGTACTGCTTCGGAAAGGTGCTGCTTGAGCTGGTGACAGGAAAGTTAGGGATGAGTGGGTCGAATGACACAAGTGTATTGTTGGAGTGGGCATTGCCTTGTATCAATATTTATGAGAAGGAGTTGGTGACCAAGATTGTTGACCCATCCCTGATAGTGGATGATGACCTTCTAGAGGAAGTGTGGGCCATGGCGATTGTGGCCAAGTCTTGTCTCAATCCCAAACCCTCAAAGCGACCTCTCATGAGATACATCCTCAAGGCACTCGAGAATCCTCTCAAAGTGGTTAGGGAGGATAGCGGCAGCAATAACAATGGCAATGGTGGAGCGTCTGCGAGGCTTCGGACAACTTCGTCCCGAGGGTCATGGAATGCTGCACTCTTTGGCAGCTGGAGACACAGCTCGTCTGAGATTGCGGTGGCTCCTAGAGAGGTGGCCAAGCAATCTGGGACAGCTGGATCTCAAGGGAGCGGTGGTGGACAAGGAGGAGGAGACACACCCTCTCACAAGAGACTCTCCAAGGAGATCTTCCCTGAGCCACCACCCTCTTCCTCTGCTGCTGCTCAAGAAATAGAAGGTGGTGGTGGTGGACACAATCATCAGGAAGATTGATTAGAAAGGAACTTGTTGAGTGCTGTATTTCTCTGTGCTGTGATTCTTTGGAAATAATACAAAGGGGAGGGGAGAGGAGGGCTCCCTCCAATTCGAGGGCTTGCCTTACTGCTCATAATCAGTAGCATGAATTTTTTATTTCCTTTTTGTTTTATTTGCTATTGTTGTTTTAGAGGAAGATGGATTAATTCTTCAAGGAAAGGAGGATCCACCTACCCCTTCTTACCCCCACCCTCATAGTAGCAGAAAGATTGTAACCAACCACTGACTGATTCACATGTATCGATCAAAGCCATTTTTTCATGTCTCTTCTTCACAGTTGTCACCGGGAGGAAGACGACTACCAGAGCACGCACTATATTTGGTTGTGCAATGCTCTGGAGGCCTCTTGCTGCTGCTATATTAGACGTGGATAGATCTCGTGCTTGGCATGAGGTGTGTTAATTGGCGTTATTTTTTGTAAAGATGTGGAGGAGGTTGAGGTTGATTGGTTTGCTTGGTAGGGGAGCTTTCAGCCTGGAGGATGTGAATTATTTATTCTGGTCTTACATGCAGATGCGTGAAAAAACTGCAACTTAATTTGTTCTTTTTGTGTTTTTTATTTGTTGTGTAATTGTTTGTCCATGATTATCATGGATGTGTAAATGGAGCTCAGACCTTTCTTTTTGGATTTATTCCTTTACATCTCTATGCATGCCTGCCAATTCAACAAACGCAAAATCAACAAACTCCACAAGCCTTCTTGTTAGCTTGTTAAAGAGACTTTTTCCTAAAAGCCAAACGAAAAGGTTATTAACTTTATAGAAGAGAATTTTGTTATTTAAGATGTAAAAATTGTGTTTTGATTGCCCTCAGTTTGGATAAAGTGAAAATGACATGGATTAATTTGAAAAGAAGCATGTCAATCCCATCAATAAAGGAGAATGTCGTCTACGAAAATGTTTGATGCTGAAGGTTGGCATATCTGCAGGTAAAATCGAAAAAGAAATTTACTATTACTCTCGCAATGAAGGATTAGAATTTGAATTTACTAATTATGGGTAAACAATTTTTTTGGTACTCCTCGAGATCAACTGTAATCTATCCTTCTATTCCATCTCCAATATTTGGACAGTGGAGATTGACCTGTAGAACTTTAGAAACAAAGGCTAAGTAGACCAGGGGGTTCCTAAAACAAAGCCGGGGTGACACTGCTTTTTCATAATGTTTCTTGTGGCTGCTGAAATTTAAGTTTCTTAAAGATCTTTCATTTGGAATTATCAGTTAAAGGGTGACATCGCCAACAAAAAAAAATGTAATCTTTCAATCAAATTGAAATTTCTTTCAATTTCATTTAAATAATATTTCTAAAAACAGTGTTGCGGCATAAAAAGATTAGGTCCCACCGAGATTTGAACTCGGGTTACTGGATTCAGAGTCCAATGTCCTGACCACTAGACCATGGGACCCATTGTTGTCACACTTTGGGCCCTTGTATTTAAGACATTGGGATAAAATAAAATAAATTATGCCAAGTGAGCACCAACCAACCAACCATGGTTTCGGTTTCTGTCCTCCTCGAGGATCATTGGTGCCAGCAGTGGCAGGATGATGATAAGAATGAGGAGGAGGTGGCTGTCTCTTTCCAGGCTCGTTCGCAGCACAACAACAATAATCCCCCACTGCCACCACTACTACCACAGCAGCAGTAGTAGTCATCAATCCTCTTCTCAATTTCTCAACAGGTCACACAACCCAACCCACCCCCTTCTCTGTAGTTCCATTTAGAATGAACGTTCCTTGGCTGCAGGGGGAGGAAATGGGATGCGGTGGTGATTGGTGGAGGACACAACGGCCTAACTGCTGCTGCTTACCTTGCAAAATCTGGCCTTAAAGTGGCCGTGTTGGAGAGGCGTCACGTCATAGGGGGAGCCGCCGTCACAGAGGAGCTTATCCCGGGCTTTAAGTTCTCCCGCTGCAGTTACCTGCACAGCCTCCTCCGCCCCTGCGTCATCAAGTCAGTCGCTGCCTCCTTTCATCATGCACATCCTTCCTCATAGCTCAACTGAATGACCAACTTAAGCATCTTCTTTTTCGAAGTTTGACTTTGGTTCTTGGGTTGCCAATCTAACTCAGGCTTGGGCATTCGAGTAATTTGTTGTGCTGATGATGATGCTTTTCACTTTTTTTGTTGTTGATGTTCTTGCTGCTGATATTGTTGTAAAGGGAATTGGACTTAAAGAGGCATGGACTCAGGTTTCTGAAACGGAACCCGTCATCCTTCACCCCTTGCTTGGATGGCCGTTATCTTCTTTTGGGCCCTGACGCGACCCTCAATCATAGCGAGATCTCCAAGTTCTCAGAACGAGATGCAATTGCCTACCCAAAGTATGCCTACATGTTCTAAAGATAGATAGACAGACATACAGATTGATAGCTATATTAGTTACAAGTTTTCTACATGGATAGATAGGTGTTATTTCTCGAACTTTTGAAATCTAGTTGTTGTAAACTTATATGTGTTATGAACTTTCTTTTGGAGAAAATAAATTGGTTCTTACGTATCCAGTGTGACAAGTTCTATACTTCCCCGATAGGAACTAATCATGGAGCGCATCATTAAACTGGTTCATTAGGCGATATGACTATGGAATTTAGTGCCCTCATCATTTGTTTGAAGTGGAATATTTTGTTTTTATTTTTATTTATATTTTTTTTTCTGTTTGGTATTTCTCTTTGTAGGTATGAAGGACAGTTAACCAAATTTTGTAATATCATGGACTCCCTTTTGGACTTGCCTACTCCTGAAATTAAAAGTGATCTGACATCCAGTATTGATTTTATGGCGGATAAGTTTAAAAAATCAGCATTCTGGGCTCGTCTTCTGCAACAATCATTCCTTTTGGGACAAAAGGACATGGTGTAAGTCCTGATATAATTCGATTTACATGGTAGAATTTTTCTTTCTCCAAAGCTATTGCAACCATGCTGGATTTTTCTTGTTTTGTTGTTTTATGGAAGATGAGAAACTAGCTTTCATTGTAAGTTCCCTTCGTACAATTCAATGATTTTCTGGGTCAAACATTCAGTGCATTTGAATAAATTTGCCCGCACATTCCATATTTTAATATGCGTTTCACATTTGTTTTGATAGTGACTTCATGGAACTCATGGTTTCTCCTGCCTCAAGGGTCTTGAATAACTGGTTTGAGGTAACCATTTATGTGTAGTTGCCTAAGTCTATTTTAATTTGTTGAGGATGTTATGGTTTTTGAGTAGTGGTCTAAACATTAGATGTTGTGAATGATGCCATTGGATCATGTTAATGTCATCTATTTGAGGGTTATGAACCATCCTATTTCACATCCACAAGCTATATATGTTTGCCTAAATATGTGACACGTTTAGCAATTTACCAATTTGATGCATTATTTTATGCATTTGTGTGACCTGTCATGACTGCTGAGCACTCCCAATTTTTTGGGACCCATTGAACCTTGCAAAATTGATCAAAGTGAGACATTTCTTAGTCATTGCTTAAAATTAGTTAAATCTGAGCTTTCAAACTATCACCACAAATGGCTTATTTTCCTCACAAGAAAGATTCATCAAAGGAGGAATGCTCTATGTCTATATTTTTTTGTTCTTTCTTGAGGAAAGCTTGTTACGTGTCATAACTAACTTAGAAACATCTATGGAATCAATCTTAAAAGTGTAACCTACTCTAGAAAGAACAAAAAAAATATTGAGATGATTTTTATTGGAGGAGTTTTATGAAAAAATATTAATGTTTCATAATTTCTTTACGTTAATTGGAGGAGTTTTATTAATTGTTTGGTTGAACTCTTTTTCGGTTTATCTAGGAGGAAGATCCTGTTTAATTTTTTCATATAATTCTTTGGTATTCTGTTTTATCATTGAGATCTATAGCATTTGATTATAAATAACAATTATTCTCTTGAAAAGTTAATAGTTTAACAATTTTTAGTGTCCAGAATGGTATTAGAGAACAAGTCTAAGCAAAGTTGCACCATTGGACCTTGATGTTTTTTAATAATAGATTCTTTAAATTGAAATGAATAATGCATCGAGAAAAATGTGTTTGAAAAGCATCACTCAATATGGCCTAGAGTCCCAAAATCCTACCCTTCCCTAATGTAGCGTGGTTTACCAAGTTGTCTACCAACAGAAATTGTGTCCCTTTGTACTTGATAAGTCTATATGGAAGTGTTCCAAGCCTTTGGAGGTTGAATGATAGAAGGAAATGCTTCAAGATCATGGTGGACACTTAGATGGTAACCTGCTTCGTTCCTCTGGCATCATACTAAAAGTTTCAAACTTATACTAACTGGATTCTGCAGACATTATAGAGCGGATGAAATGTTATCATTATATATATATATATATATATATATATATATATATATATTCTACAGACACACACACACACATTGAGAGAGGTGACAATATATTAGTGAGGTAGTATTTGTTACACAAAATTCTCATGGAGAGTGAGACATTATTTGATGGTTAATGCACCAAATTCTCTTTATGTCTGCGAGTAACTCATTGAGCATTGATACCCTAAAAACGCACAAACCTTAAAATAAACACCACGTAATGCTACGATTCACAGTTTCTAACAATTAATGCACAATAGCATTTAAATTCTACTTGTGGGTCGCTTAAAAGGTGCATTTTGCACAACAATAAGATACTTAATACTACAGTCGCCCTTTCTTAAAAAAAAAAAGCATTTAAATTTTAAAATTGGGGTTCTAGATGACTTCCCTCATTTACTTTTTTCACAGTTTGAAGTTCTTATTATCTTTGCCCTCTTAGATTCAAAATATGGCTATAAAAGGTCTTCACAAGGGACAACATTTCCTCCACCAAAAAGAGGAAGATCTGCCAAAAACATTCTGTATGTGTGAACTCTTTCCTTTCCAGATGTACACAATGCCTAGGTTAGTGCCTGGGTTTGTGCCTCGGGTGGGGCGTAGGCTGCCTAGTGTGTGGCACCTAGAACATCTCAAAGCTTCCTCCTTTGACTGCAATTCCACAAAGATCTAGGATATAAATAAAATTGATAAAAATCTAAGATATTGAAGTTAAAAAATCTGCGTGTGAGATCGAAGGAGCATCGGAACTTAAGGATTTCAGGCCAATTAGCCTCATCAATAGCTCCTACAAAATTTTGGCTAAGGTTCTTGCGACCCTCCTGAAACATGTTTTAAGCTCCATCATCTCCCCCAATCAAAGTGCATTCGTGAAGGATCGACAAATACTTGACGGGGCTTTAGTCGCACACGAGTGAATTCACTCGAGGATGACAACTACCAGGAATGATTATCAAACTAGATTGGGAGAAGGCCTACGATCACGTTGATTGGGACCTTCTTGAAGAAACTAAGAGACGTATGGAATTCGAAGCTTCATGGAGGAAATGGATTCGGGGTTGCGTTCGAGGTCCCTTCTTCTCCATCCTAAACAATGGAGCTCCCTAGGGGTACTTCCAATCCCACAGGGGTCTCAGACAGGGAGACCCCCTTTCTCCCTTCCTCTTTTCTATCACAACAGAGGTCTTCAGTAAGCTACGGATAGGCAATACGAAGCGGGACTGATCTCAGGGTTCAGGCTCGTTCCGCAAGGCCTAACCGTCATGCACCTCCAGTATGCCGACGACACCCTGCTCTTCTGCGATGCCTGCCCGATACGATTGAACAACTTGCTTCTTTTTCTACAAGTCTTTCACTTCGTAATATGGTTCAAGGTCAACTTCAATAAATCCAAGATGATGGGGATATCAGTGGACCCAGCTACCCTACAGTCCTTCGCGGCAATTAGGGATGCGGTACTGAATCCCTACCCTCAACCTATCTTCGCTTGCCCCTTTGCTATGGCTTGCCACACCATTCACAGTGGAGCCGTGTCATCTACAGGGTGGAAAAGAAGCTGGCCATGTGGAAAGGGAGATTCCTCTCCCCCGCAGGTCGCCTCACCGTCATTAAGGCGATCGTCTCGGGGATCCCTATTTATATCATATCTTTGTTCCGTCTCTTGACCTTGGTTCGTGAGAGGCTGGATCAATGAGGAACATCTTGTTGTTAGGTGACGGCTCCCTAAAAAAAATTTCACCTCCTTGCTTAGAAGAAGGTCTGCCTTCCTAAATCTCTAGGGGGTCTTGGGATACGCAGCCTTAAACTCACTAACCTTGCCCTACTTTGCAAATGGTGGTGGAGATTGACCTCACAGGGAGACCAACTGTGGCACCACATTCTTCATTCCAAGTACCGCCTCTTCTCCTCCCACTGGTCAATCCCTGAGAAGCTCCAGCAATGAGCATCGGGTTTTTGGAGATCTATTTTTCACACTTTGCCTGCTTTTAGAGCTCACATCCGCTTCCCTAGGGACGGGTCCAGAGTTCGTTTGCCTGCTTAATGTGAATTGGCCACATATTCCATTCTTCTCTCTGCATCTCTCTCTATCTTCTTCACTTTCTCGGAATCTATCAGGTATTAGAGCACTAAAGATCAAAATATTTCTTTGCCCGCAATTGTTCATGCAAGTTAGTTATTAATTCATCCATTGCTGCTCACAGATCATCGTATTCTTTAGTGAAGGTCTGTTAATGGATTGATTTTGGTTTTATTTTATCATAGTTTACTCTAGAGAGAGATCTGTTTTTACTCTAAAGTGAGATCCATATTTTTTTTCTTTACTCAAGTAGAGGGACCGTCGTCCTCATCCACAAATTTGCACCCTCTCAATCTTTGAACCGTTTTATTGTTTGCAGAGCTGCGTCATCCACTGTTTTTGCACCCAGTGAATCTCTGCACTCTCTCTCTCGCCCTTTTGATGAATTTCAGGCCCATACCCTCTCTCTCTCACGTCTCTGTCTTTGCACTCGCTCTCCCTTTTGATGAATTTCAAGTCCATACATCTCATAAGCTTTTTCATTTGATTTATTCTTGATATTTTTCATTTTATTTGTGATCCAAGTGAGTTTGGAGATTTCCCTTCAAAAAAAAAATTTGTTGGGGGATTGTTTTTAGAGAGAAGTTCCTTCATATATCCTATCCCCTCATGGAATCCAAGAATAATACAGATAGTGCTACTATTTATGTGTGCCTTGATGGGAAGAACTACAGATTGTGGTCTTTCCACATGTGACGCTTTCTTATAGGAAGAAAATTATGGGGCTACGTTGATGGATCTATACGCCAACCTACCAATGAGAATGGGCACAATGATTGGTTTGCTATTGATAGTTGCATTGTTGCTTGAATCATGAATTCAGTTGAGCACAAAATTGGGCGCAACTTCACATATTAACCCAATGCGAAAGCCATGTAGGATTATTTGAAGAAGATTTACTCTCAAACAAACACGGCTCGTCTCTATGCACTTGAAAACGAAAGCATGAATACACGACAAGGAGATTCCTCTATTAAAATCTATTTCAATTCCCTCTTAGGCATATGGAATGAGATGGACTCAATGGAGACAGAGTCACCTAATGAGGCAGTTACTAAAGCAAGAAATCAAACTCGTTTATTCCATTTTCTAATGGGGTTACGATCAAAGTTTGAAAATATTAGAGCATCAATTCTTCATCGCACTCCCACTTCATTACTAGATGATGCCTTCTCAAATCTTCTTGCTGAGGAAACTCGCTTAGGCTCTCTTAGGATTTGCAAATCCAATTCACCAGACATCACTGATGTGGCTTTAGCTATACCCAATGACTCTAACAAGGGTTTCAGCTATGGCCAAGTACAATGCAATATATGTAGACAAAATGGACACATAGCTGCTCATTGTAAGAAGCAATGTTTTTGCAATTATTGCGAAAAGTTTGGCCATGTAATTGTTGATTGTAATAAAAGGCCTCTGGCTCGTGGAAAGTACTCTACCAATGGTTCTACTCAATTAGTTGCATTGGCCTCTATTCCTAGTTCAATCAACATGAAGGATGTTGTTTGTGTTGACTCCCACTCTACATCTACACCTACATCATCTACAGTTCCTCCACCTATTCCAGGTTTTCCCTCTATTGACTCAAATACACTTCAACAGCTTGCTCATGCCTTAGGTGCCTTTGGGGTTTTCAGGTAATTTGAATGCTCTTTCAAATACTTGGATTATAGACTCAGGAGCATACAACCATTTTACATGACAAATTTCTCAATTATCCTCTGTGACACCTCAT